ATGTCCATGGATATGTCATGCCAGCCCCAGACTATCCATCTAGACTTTCTTCACATAAAAAAAGTATACCTCTGCCTTTTAAAAGCCGCAGTTACTTTGAAATTTTCTGTAATTACAATTAAACCTAATCCTAGCTAATATAGGAGATACCAAGGAAACTGGGGTGATTAAGCAAGTTGCTAGAAAGACTTGGGAATGAGCATAAGCAAATGAGATGTGGTTGTGTAGTTATCTGAACAGCATGAGTCATGCAGAATTATGGGTAAGACTCAGTTCAGCCACTTCCTAGCTGTGTGACCTTGGGCAAATCATTTAACCTCTCTGAACTATTTCTTCAGCTGTAAAATGCAAGTCCCCCTTTGGAGGATTGGAATTAGGAAGAAATGAAATAATGCACAGAAATTATTTACAACAGTGTCTGTAGGTTTGTGTCCCCAGGTGAATATAACAGTGCCTCCAGCATCAAGCTGTGACAGAAAATGATGTGTCTTAGAGAGTAGTAAGCATCCACCAGGTGGTATGCAAGGGAACTTAGCACAACCACGTGTCTTACTGATCATGAATTAATTTAAAAAAAATTGGAAAAAATATAACAAGCACATCAAACCTATAATTTCACAGATATTATTGCTTAGGATGAGGCAAAAGTAATTATTTCAGTTTAAAAAAAGGTAAATGAATGTAAAGAAAATTTTGGAAGTAATCGGTAATGTAGTCCCACAAAAAAAAGATGGGCTCCCAAGTGACTGAAGTTTGGCAAACACTAGCCCAAGACAGGCAGACCCAGAAATGCAGCTACAGAAAGGATAAAGAACTAAAGTCAAGAGGGCCACAGTTTCATTCCTGTCTGGGCCATGCTCTAGCCTTCGGCCTCCCCGGAGTGTACTCTCTACAGCCCTTCCATGCTGTGCTACCCCCACCCCCTCCAGGTGCACTTTTGGGGACAGGGACTCCGCTTCACCACAGTACCCTCAGTGCCCAACACAGTGTCTGACACAGACACAATGGCTGTAATTGATTAATGAGGAAGGATGGCTCCCTGGGTCTTCCCCTCCTTGCACTTTGCAGCTGTGAAGTCAGAAACTCTGGAAGACACCTGGGTCAGAGAAAGAGAGGAGAAAAGGTCTTCATGGGAGCACTGGGAAGGAATGAGTGTTCGTTGAGGGGTCGAGTGAGGTAGCACAGGACAGAGGACCAGAGGGAAGTGGGCATTGGAAATAAATAGGGTTTGGAAGGGCCTTATCACACCTGTTAGGACGAATAGATGGATGGGTGGGTGGGAGGGAAGAGGAAGGAAGGAAGATAGGACATCGCTCTGGTGTCTTCAGCACATAGACCAGCATGGGAAGAAGACATGGCAGAGTGGCTTCAGAGAACGTGTTTACACGCACCTGCCTCCATCTCGCCCAAACTTCTCAGCACAAGCGACACCAGCCAGGCTGGTGGGATAACAAGGATGAACCACAGAGGGCATCTCTAGCAACTGGGCTGACTGCTGCCACACAGCAACGAGGACCCGGCATTGCCTAATCTGATTTTTCAAAGAAAGGCCTGTAGTGCAAATTCCAAATGTTGCTCAGGCCAGAGCGAACATGTTTGTAGGTCATACCTGCCCTCAGGGTGTCTATTTGCTACCATGATATTTATCACTGCCCACCTTCTGTGTGTCGCATGTAAACGTGGCACAGACAAGAGAAAAACCCTGGCAGCCGAGCTCTATCCCGTGGGATCACAAGGTTGAGACTCATTACTGAGCATGCCCTATAGCCAGGCACCTCAGGAAGAGAACTGTCTACCCTCTGCCATGAATCTAAGGTGGTGTCTGTCCCAGAAAGTTCATGTACAAATGAGAGCCTCATTCTCTAAGGAAGCCCGCAGACCACCCTAGCTGCATTCCCCACCTGGACAAAAGGCGGCTCTGAGCAGAACTCTGTGCAGGCGTGAGTGGCAGATGGGGAATCCTCCTAACAGCTCTAAAAGCAAAAACTGGCTATTATCACACCAAGAGAAAATTAGAATGCTTTCATTAAAAAAAAAAATCATGGAAAAAGTAATGTGTTTCTTCTCTGCCCGCCCACCTCCTTTTTGCTAACTGTTGCATCGTTTAGCCGCCGGCAGCCGAGCGGTGTGGACGCTGTGAGATGCAGCCTCGCTTCTGCAGCACTCCTTGCCTGCCGCTCTGTCAGAGGAGCCTCGGCCTTGGGGTTAAGATCCAGGCCTTTAATGGACACCCTTTAGCCACCGCTCTTTCCCTGTGGATGTGTGGTACTTTTCCCCATGGCTTCTTCCAGTGCATGTGTGCAGCTGCCTTCCCCAGCCTCCGGCCTGGCCAATGGCCAGACTGCTTCTCAGATCCCTACCCAGTTTGTATGAGTTTGTCAATAAAACAGCCTCGGTGGCCAGATGAGAGTGAGCTCCGGAGAAGTCTAATCAATTGCTTAATGATTGGACCATATCGACCAGGAATTGTTAATTCACTTCCACAAGTCAACATCTCCTGGGGCTTCTTAGAAAAGTGTATTATTTGCAAAAGTGATGGGGAATTTAAGTCCTGCCAGATGAACCCGGCCAGCCATTGGCAAAGTGAACAGAGGTAGCAGTGTCCTCTATTTAGGTCCTGGAGACTTTGGGTGACTTTTTCCCCACAGCTGTGTAGACACGGTTTTGGTGGTGTTAATGCCCCAATGCACACAGCCGCTTAAAAAGCAACTATTAACACGCTGTCTTTCCTCAATTGCTGAAACCCCCATGCTTGTTTCCACAGCACGGTAGGAAGTTCCCGCCCTCTTGGTTTGCGGGTCTCTGCGTTCCCACCCGACCCTCTCTCCTGAAGATTTCTAGACAACCAGCTAGTTACTTAGTGGCTCCTATTAATCTTCTCTTTTTTAATGTGATTTGGAAAATAAGTCAATATTCTTTTATTTTTTTAATTTATAATACCATGAATGGAAATATATTAATAAATTTCCCAAAAGCTTATCACTAATGCTGATCGTGCCATAGCACTCAGCAGCTATTAATACACAAACCTGCCCAACTTTGCAAGTATTCGGGATGCTCCTCTCCTTTCTATGGAGAAGCAAACTAAGGCCTGGAGGTCATTCCATGTGGGGAAAGGGAGGAGAGTAAAACCCAGTAAACCACCCTAACCCCCTTTCACGCACCCTCACAAGGTGGCCGTAGCTGGTGCTGAAGTTTTCCTTGGACGGGGGGAAAGCACCTGAGTCTGACCTTTGCCCTCACCATGCAGGTCTCTCCCAGGAGCTTGGCCCTGAGGCCCAGCCCTGGACAAACCACTGTGGGGACCCCGAGCTCAGAGCCTCATGCCACGCGTCCATTCATTTTAGGAGCTGCTGGCAAGTTTGCTGTGCATAGTGTTTTGTTATTGGGAGAACACTACTTTTGAAATAAATACTGGACACCATAGAATTTTTAAAGTATTTTATAAAAATTGTCACACAGCCCCCATTTTCTCCAATAAAAGTTAATTTGCCAGAGGTTCAGAGGGCGGGAAGGAGGAAGGGGTGAATGGGCAGAGCACAGAGGATTTTTTAGAGCAGCAAAACTCTCCCATACAGCAGAAGCTGTGGGAATGTGGGCATTTAGATAGTGGCCAGGGCTCAGGAGCATCAGCCGCATATTCCTAAGGGAAGCGGGATGTCCCCAGAGCTCCCTCTCTGCAGCAGACAATGAAGAGTCACCGACAGGCAACACAGAGGCAGAGTTGTAAAAGCAGGGCAGGGAAGACACAGAACAGCACCTGGGTTGCTGGAACAGGCTGGGCTGGAGGAGAGGAAGGCAGAGAAAAAGCGGCTGTGCCACCTGGACAGATGTGGCTGTAGACCCCCAAGCCAAGAGGGTGGGAACTTCTGATGGTACCATGGAAACAAATGTGGGGGATTTCAGCAATTGAGGAAAGACAGTATGTTAATAGTTGGAGAGATGTATGAACTGAACAACAAAGTAGGCAATTCAGCAGGAATTTACGTCATATTCTGGGCAAGTGAAAAGGTGATAGGTGTAACTGATACAGCCGAGTGCCATGCTGACTCTAATGCAGACTCTTGTCATCGTGTCTTCTAGTACCTCGGTAGCCCCCGCTCTCCACTTCCACCCCTAAGAACTAACTTTTATGTCTTGGAAAACAGAAGGTGCTCCTCTACACAGGGCACCAGCTTTTTCTTCCCCTGTGCACACACATGACGTCTATTAACAGTCACAGCAACAGCAAACTCGCAAGCAGAGGAGAGCGAAGCTCACATAATCAACGTGGCTCTGACTCTGTAGCAAAGTTGGGTTTCCTGTTCGAAGACACTTAGCATTAAAATAAAGTAAGAGTTAAAATACCAATAAATGTTCTTGGTTATTCCAAGAATCCATCAAATTTTTAGTGATCACCTGCAGATAAAAGATAGCCATATTGTTCTCCATGTAACAAAGCATTTATTCAGTTTTCAGTAAAAAGTTGAGCAAATATAAACACCAAAAGAGTGGCTCCCCTGCAAGAGATTCAATTAAGCATCAGCCCAACTGTGCGGAGACCATGTTGCAACACCACAGCAGCCTGTCTTTCTGGTCATTATTAATCCAGAAACCTTAATGATGAACAACATTTGTGTTATTGTCTACCCAAATTTAATTTGTTTATGCAGCAGTTCAGTTAATCTTGCAATCTGTTTTTCTCAAACGAGGGCAGATAATGGAGACACCGTTCTTTACAAGTCTTCGGGCTTTTAAATTCTGATAAAATCAGGATTCTTCACTGGGTCTTGCCCCAGCTCTGAATTAAACCACTTTAAATGTAATTATGGAACCTGGCCTTCCAGCAGGAACATCCATTTAAAGAATTGATTGGCCAGGCTGTTCCAAAAGGCATTTTATGAGCAAACGATTGCAATGGGGCCAGAACTGTAATTTATAAAGGCAAAAAAGCAGGTAAATACTTTATTAGTGGTAATGAGAGGGTTGCCAGCTCACTGAATCTCTTCTTTCCTCACTAGCTACTTCACGGAGCCGTGGTGCATGGCCCTCTTCCACGATCGTTTTATTGATCTCAGGAAAGAGTTACACCAAATCTTAGCCTCCAAGGAGGTAAGAATGATTAATGGATATGTGGATCATTCCTTGCAAATTTTAAGCAGTTGATAGTTGTTGATCATTTGGACTTTTTCCTACATTCCCATTTTATGGTTTTGCTTTTTAAACCAACTGTATTTCATATAAACAAACTACAGAGTATGTAAGCATAGACAGTGATATTTCAGGGAAAGTGATTTTATTTAAATCCTTTTATGGAGGGCAAATTTCTTTTCCCTTTTTACAAGTAACTGTATTTTTATTATCAGCTAAGAGTGTTGGCTGATAACTGGACATGGGTTATATTACTTGCCCTAATGCATGAAGATTGCATTCCTTTAGTTTCTGTCTGTATTTGCCAGCCATTTGCTGAGCATTCATGTGTGTATTGCTTTAAAGATGTAAAGAGAAGTCATCCAGATGTCACAAAGCACTCATTTTAATGGAAACGTCTTTCTCAAAGTGATACAGTAGTAACTGGAAGTTAGGCTACATATTCCAAAGGCTCCAAACTCAGCAAGAAATTTGACTCTGCAATGTATATAAACAGCGAAATATTTGTGAAACTTCAAAGTAAATTAGGTCTTTCAATACTGGAGTCCTTAGCAGAGTGGTGGAAAGTTAATACCTGTGCTCAGAGAGTGGTCGAGTATCCATCCTAGACTTTGCTTTGTGCAGAAAAGGGCTGGAGCCTGGGTCAGTTTCCACATCGTTTTGCCATCTAAATGGGCAATTCCTGCGTCTCCATTGCCACTCCCACTTGAGAGCACCCACCAGCCTTGCAGGTTCCCATGGTGTAAGCTTATTGGACAGCACAGTTGGAGATCACAGACCAAGTGCCCACTACGTTCTAGTAGGCAGCACGTGCCACCTCTCTGAATCACGACAAGAACCCTCAGAGGTGGTGGGGTACTGGTGTTATCATCTTGATTTTACCAGTGAAGAAGCTGAAGCTTGGAGATTTTAAATAATCCTCCATGCTGACACAGCTAGCCAGTGGCCACCAAGTTTCAAACTCAGGGTCTCTCACCCCAAGGCTGAGACCGTAGGCCATCCGGGTCCGAACTGCTTGTCCCAGAACCTTCTTCTCATTGCCCGCAGTTTTATTCCTGGGGTCCCACTGGGAAATGTGAATGATTTACTAATAGGAAGTAGGTTCAGACTGGGAACCATAGGTTGAAAGTTTAAACCAAACTGAAATGTCTTTAGGATCCAGGCAGGTAAATGCAAATGAGGGAAGTGGAAGGCATGATGACTAGATGCCAAGGTCAGATGCTGTGAAAGCCGTTCGTGTGGAAATGCAGATATAAGTTAAAGATGCTCCAGGTCAAACAGGTCCCTGCACTTCATCCCGGGTCTGCAGCGAGGTCACCTCAGGCTGAAATCTGAACCTGAGTTGTGAGCCTGGTACTTACTGAACTCTGCTCAACTCCTCAGACACCTCCCCTCCTCCGAGAATGTAATCTGCACGTTTACTACTGCCCAGTTTGTAAAGATTTGTTTTCTAGTGATCCCATCAAAACTCCATGACTAAATCTTTATATTTCTATTATTATTTTTTTTTTTTAGAGATGGGGTCTTGCTATGTTACCCAGGCTGATCATGAACACCAGGCTTAAGCTCTCCTCCTGCCTCAGCCTCCCAAGTTGCTGGGACTACAGGCGTGAGCCACCATGCTGGCTTCTGAATCTTTCTTAACCAGAGGTCTTCAGTGAACATTTTGCAGGGAGCCAAGGGGTTTTAGGCATCAAGCTTAAAAGGGAAGCTTTCCCTTCACCTTTCCAAGTAAACTATCAAGCTCAATGGCATCCTTCACGTTCATGGTACTCACTGACACACCCTCAAACTTTTATCCATGACCTGACATTTGCTGTGGACCAGTTTGCCATGAATGAACTCAGTATGGACAGCAGGCCCAGTCAGTAGACCAGAAGTAGCCATGGACATTTGCCAAAGACACACTAAGGACTCCCTAACCATTCTTGTGGGTTTTCTAGATTTCCGGAAAGCAAAACCTCTGGAAGAAAAACCTCCACGGGGGGTTTTTCTGTTTTCAGCATTTCCATTTGTCAAACGGGAAAGGCCTCAGCGAGAGGTGGTGCACAGAGTGATGTCTGTGCTAGCTCAGTGGGACTACTCAGTGTGGCCTCAGGCAGATCCTCTGATGCCTGTGGAACAGCTGTTTCCCACTCAGAGGGCTGTGGGAGGAGTGGCGGAGGCGATGTGTGTGAGCACATGGCACAGAAGGATGGCTCGGTAAGTGCCGCCACCACAAGCAACAATGGCGGTGACAGTTAGAGACAGGCTGACAGTGGAAGTGATGGCCACACAAACAGACATGCAGGAATTTAAATCAAGAGTCTGGTAATAGGCAAATAAAATGGACAGCCTGCATAAAAAATAACAGTAATTCCTTTTCCCAGATATTGAAATGATATAATTCATTTCATTTCACTTTCTACCTTGCCTTCAGGGAAGTACAGAAGTTCAATCCCATTAACTGTGATATCCTAGAGTTTAGTATATCAATTTTCCTTTCCCTCCACATGTGAAGAAAAGAATAAAAGACTATTATCTATGACTGTTATTAGAAATCATCTCAAATTATATATTTATTTTTTTAAAAGCTCATTATAAGATATCTCAAATCCTTTTGGGAAAGTAGAGAAAGGGCAGATTATAAATCCATTGGCACTGCATTTTACAAGCCAAAGAGTCACTGACCGAGGTAAAATTTTGTGTAGTCAAAATGATTCTTCAAAATCCTTTAAGAATGATGTAACCGTTATAAACATACACTCACTTAACAACAGAACCCCAAAATATATGAAACAAAGTTGACAAAATTGAAGGAAGAAATAGATAGTTCTAAAATGATAATTGGTAATTTCAATATCCCACTTTCAATAATGGATAGAACAACCAGATAGAAGATAAATAAGGAAACAGAGGATTTCAACCCCATTGTAAACCAAGTGGACCTAACAACCACACTGTAAACCCCACTGTAAACCAAGTGGACCTAACATGTACAGAATACTCCACTCAACAGTAGAATGCACGTTCTTCGCAAATGCACATGGAACATTTTCCAGGATATGCCACATGTTAGGCCACAAAACAAGTGTCAATAAATTTTAAAAGACTTAAGTCAGACAAAGTATATTCTCCAACCACAATGGAATGAAGCTAGAAATCAATAACAGAAAGAAAATTGGAAAATTCACAAATTTATGGAAATTAACACACTCTTAAGTAACTAGTGGGTCAAAGAAGAAATCAAAAGGCTTAATTGAAATACTTAGAGAAGAATGAAAACTAAAATACAACATACAAAAATTTATGGGATGCAAAGAAAGCAATTTTCAGAGGAGAATTTATAGCTATAATGCCTACATAAAAAATTATCTCAAATCAATAACCCAATTTTATGCCTTAAGGAACTAGAAAAAGAAAACCAAACTAAACCCAAATGCCAGCAGTAGGAAGGAAATAACATAGATTAGAGCAGACATAAATGAAATAGAGAATAGAAAAATAAAGAAAATCAATGAAAACAAAAGTTAGTTCTTTGAAAAGATCAACAAAATTGACAAACCATTAGCTAGACTAAGAAAAAAAGACTCCAATTATTAAAATATGAAAGGGAAATAGGAGCATTACTACCAACCTTACAAAAATAAAAAGAGATTATAAGAGAATACAACGAACAAGTATATGCCAGCCAATTAGATAACCTAGATGAAATGGAAACATTCCTAGAAACAAACAAAAACTGACTCAAGAAGAAATAGAAAATCTCAACAGACCTATAACAAGTAAAGATATTGACTCAGTAATCAAAAACCTCCCCAAAAAGAAAAGCCCATGACCAGATAGCTTCACTAATGAATTCTACCAAATATTTAAAGAAGATTAACATCAATCCTCTTGAACTCTTCCAAAAAAAAAAAAGAAAGAAAGAACCATTCTATGAGGCTAGCATTATCCTGATACCAAAGCCAGACAAACACACTACAAGAAAAGAAAAATACAGACCAATATTCCTTATGGATTTAGATGCAAAAATCTTCAGCAGAATATTAGCAAACCAAATCCAGCAGCATATTAAAAGGACTGTACACCATAACCAAGTGGGATTTACCCCCTGAAGGTAAGGGTGGCTCAGCAGATGAAAATGAATCAATGTAATATACTACTTTAATAGAGCAAAGAGTTTGGAAAACACTATCATCTCAATTGACACAGCACAAGCATTTGACAAAATCAAACACACTTTCATGGTAAAAACACTAAGAAAAACCTATTAATAGAAGGGAATGTCCCCAATCTGATAAAGGGTATTTATCAAAAACTCACAGCAACATCACACTCAGTGGTGAATGACTAAAAGCTGAAATCTTATCCCTGAGATCTGGAATAAGACAAAGAGGCCTGCTTTCACCACTTATATTCCACATGGCACTGGAAGTTCTAGCCAGAGCAATCAGACAAGAAAAAGAAATAAAGGTATCCACATTGGAAAGGAAGAAGTAAAACTATCTCTGTTCTCAGATGATGTGATTCTAAAAAGTCCACAAAATAACTATCAGAGCTAATAAGTGAAGTCAGGTAAGTTGCAGGAGACAATATCAACACACAATAATCAGTTGTCTACATTAGCAATGAATCATCTGAAAATGAAATTAAGGAAAAATTATACTTATAATAACATCAAAACAAATAAAATACTTGGGAATGAATTTATCCAAGGTGGTACAAGACTTGTACACTGAAAACTACAAAACATTTCTGCAAGAAATCGAAGATAATCTAAATAAATGGAAAGACATCTATGTTCCTGGATTTGAAGACTTCATATTGTCAAGATGGCAATACCACCCCAAACAATCTATAGATTCAATGTAATCTTTTCAAAATCCTAGGGGCATTTTTTACAGAAATACAAATCCTAAGTTCATATGGAAATGTGAGTAACCCCAAATAGCCAAAAATATCTTAGGGTGGATAGAGGCGGGGGAAAGATCAAAATTGAAGGACTCAACATTTAATGATTTCAAACCAGGACAGTGTGGTATTTGCATAAGAATAGATATGTAGATCAATGGAATAAAACAGAGTGTCCAGAAGTAAACCTGTTTACAGGAAAAGATGCTCTGCATCACTAATTATTAGGGAAATGCAAATCAGAACCACAGTGAGATACCACTTCACATCCACTAGGAGGGCTAAAATTTAAAAAGAAGGTGGAAGGAATAAATGTTGGTGAGGATGTGAAAAAACTGCAACCCTTGCATTGCTGGTGGGAATGTAAAATTGTGTAACTGCTGTGGAAAATAGCACCTTAAAAGTTACATACAGAATTACCATATGCCCCAACAATTGGACTCCTAGGTATATATTCAAAAGAATTCAAACTGGTATTCAAAATGAACACTCGTATATGGATGTTGGAAAAAACGCTATTCAGAATATCCAGAAGGAAACAACCCAAATATCCACAAACAGAGCGATGAATAAACAAATGTGGGCTATGCACATGATGGAATAGTACTCAGCCATGAAAAGAAGTGAAGTCCTAATATGTTCTACAATACAGTAGATGAACCTCAAAACATCATGCTAGAAGGACAAAAACCATATGATCATTTCAATAAATGCAGAGTAAACATTTAATTATCAGGGAAATACAAATTAAAACCACAATGAGCTATCTCCTCACATCTGGGAAATGGCTGTTATCAAAAGATGAAAGATAAAAACTGTTGGCAAGGATGTGGAGAAAAGGGAACGCTTTGTACACTGTTGGTGGAAATGTAAACTAATACAGCCATTTTGGAAACTAGTGTGGAGGTTCCTTACAAAACAAAAATAGAATTACCATATAATCCAGCAATCCCACTTGTGGGCATATAGCCAAAGGAATTGAAATCAGTATGTTGAAGAGATGTCTGCACTCCCCTGCTCATTGCAGCATTATTCACAGTAGCCAAGATATGGAAACAACCCACATGTCCATAGACGGATGAATGATAAAGAAAATGTGGTGCGTACACACAATGGAATACTATTCAGCTTAAAAAAGAAGGAAATTCTGTCATTTGCAATAACATGGATGAACCTGGAGGGAATTATGCTAAATGAAATAATCCAGACACAGAAAGAGAAATACTGCATGATCACATTTACAAGTGGAATCTATGAAAGTCAAATTCATAGAAATAGAGGGTGGAATGGTGGTTAACAAGGCATGGGGGTGGGGTTTGGGAGCATGGAAAGAAAGGGGAGATGTTGTTCAAAGGGGACAAAGTTTCAGTTACACAGGAGAAATAAGGTTAGTGACCTATTGCACAGCATGGGTGCCTAAAGTTAGTAATAATGTATATTGAAAATTTGCTAAAAGAGTAGATTTTAAATGTTCTCACCACAGAGAAATGGTAAGTATACGAGGTGCTAGATATGTCAATTAGCCTGATTTAATCATTGACAATGTATACATGTATCATGACATCACATCGTACCTCATAAATATACAAAATTATTATTGGGCAATTTAAATAATATTT